TCTCCAAAGGATATCTCTTGGAACCTTATCGTAAGCTTTTTCTAAATCAATAAAAATCAAATGTAGATTCTCCTTATTATCTCTGAACTTCTCCATCAAACCTCTCAATAAATGTATAGCTTCCATAGTAGACCTGCCAGGCATAAATCCAAATTGATTATGAGAAATTTTCGTGATGCATCTTAACCTATGTTCAATTACCCTCTCCCATAATTTTAAAGTATGACACATCAACTTAATTCCTCTATAATTTGCACACTCTTGTGCATCCCCTTTATTCTTAAAAATGGGGATCAAAATACTCTTCCTCCACTCCTCAGGCATCTTTTTAGTTTTTAAAATAATATTAAAGAGTTTAGTAAGCCAAGAAACTCCCAAATCTCCCAAATATTTCCACACTTCAATTGGGATATCATCAGGTCCTACAGACTTTCCACACTTCAATTGAGATATTAAGATCACTAAGGTCGATCGTATTTTCAGAAACTTCATTAAAAAGTTTATTAAAGTAACTCACCCACCTATGTTGAATATCTTTTTCTAAGAAAAGTACTTTTTGATTTTCATCTTTAATACACTGTACTCGAGTTGAATCTTTACTTTTCTTTTCTCTTTGTTTGGCTAGTTTATACATATATTTTTCACCCTCCTTAGTATCTAATCTATTATAAAGATCATTAAAAGCAGAATTTTTAGCGTCACAGATTGTTCTTTTAGACTCCTTGCGGACCGTTTGATATTTTTCTCAGTTCTCTAAGCTTTTACATTTAAACCAAATTTTATAATATATTTTATCTTTTCTAATCTTTTCTAGCACATTATTATTCCACTACCAACTATTTTTATTTGTAAATATTTTTTCTTTTGATTCTCCAAACACATCTTTTGTTAATTGTTTAATAGTGTTTGTTGTTATATCCCACATAACAATTGTTTGTTCATGAATATCCCTAAATTTTAAAATCTTGAATTTTACTCATAAAAATAATTTTAAATGTGTATTTTAAGTTTCTCCATCTAATTCTACGATGATGAGTCCTAATATTATTTGTTTTACAACTCTTAATTTTAAAATTTAAATTTAACAAACGATGTTGGGTACTTAAATTTTTAATTAGAATGAACTTACAATCTTTACAATCGCGACGATCTCTTCTTCACATAAGAAAATAATCAATTTGTGTTTTATTAGATCCACTCTTATAAGTAATAAGATATTCTTCTCTTTTCTTGAATAAAGTATTAGTAACAACAAAATCATACGCTAAAGCAAAATCTAAAATAGTTCTAACTTCTTCATTAGTTACACCAAAACCGTAGCCACCATGAATATTTCTGAAATCTTCTACCACTCTACCGACATGTCCATTTAAATCTCCTCCAATAAAAATTCTTTCTTCAAGAGGTATCATTTGAATTAAGTCTTCTAAGTCAATCCAAAATTTATTTTTAGACCCTGTATCTAAACCTACTTAAGGAGCATAAGCACTTATAATATTAAAAATCTTAGTATCAATGATAATCTTAAGGGTCATAATTTTATCACCAACTCTATTAATTTTTACAACATTATCTTTCAAACTCTTATCTATAATTACACCTACACCATTTCTAGTGCGACTCTTATCAGAATACCAAAGTTTAAAACCTAAATTATCAATCTCCTTAGACTTTTCTCCAACCCACTTAGTTTCTTGAACACATAAGATATTAATTTTCCTATGAATCATAATATCAACTAATTCTATTAATTTACCATTGAGAGCACCTATATTCTAAGATCAAATCCTAATATTAGTTTCATTAGTTTCATGGACTAACTTCTTTACCCGCATTCGCCCGTAATGTGGAAACGCTTGCTTATTTAACACTACACCCGGGCGCTGGTGTAACGGCCCTTGCATACTTTTCACTGTATTCAGGCTATACAGCGCGTCGCTTCCATGGGACGCACTAGCACTTTTGGAGAAAAAAATAAAAATAATTTCACTTCAAAAATAATTTAAATAAAAAAGCCAATAAAATTACACGTCTTGATTTAAGCAACAAGATTCAATTGGAGAGAAATCTAATTGATTTTCACCTCAATTGATGTAAAATCAAGTAAGGAAAAGACTGCAGGCCTAACCTCACTCAAATTCATCTCATTGATAACTTTGAAATCATTAGATGCATATTATATACATAGCTTCACATCCAAAAGACACGAGTACATAATTGTATATGTTGTGTACCTTACATAATTTACGTATAAAAATATGTATTCTTATATACTACCTACGAACTCCATTTGATTGGAGTACACAGCAAAACCGTGTTGTGTAAACAGATCAAATTGAGTACAGAGCAAGTCACAGTTGCGCACTCAAATTTTCTACATATAGATCTATTTGTGTAGTCCACCAATCGTTTCCCTTGATAGCCCTTAATAATAGGCATGTATTATCTTCTCGATTCGACTTTTTTAAATTTGTAAAGCTTCAAAATCCACAAAGCGTGCAAAGTTCTATGAAGATATACAATGTACTTAAACAATGATATTTATAAAAAAATATAGCATCTTTCACAAGATCAATTCACCCAAATCACTTCAGATTTTACAAGCCCACATTCCATTCACATGGGTGAGACAAGGTTGTCATGTAATACCTAAATGCTCAATAAGTCCATAGGAACACACCTATGGACTCTATATTTATGAGATTTATTATAAGTAAATTGCTATATACTTCAAATGTTTCATTTAAATACTAAATAAAAAATTGAGTACCCACCCGTACATTGCACAAATAAGATATTTTTCTTTAGCACATGGCTATGCGCTTGTGATATTAAAGAAAAATTCTTAATATAGGCAGATGTATAAAATTTTCGAGCAACACTGCAATAATTTTACAAGTCAACTAGTAATATATTAACCTACCAAAAAAAATAGAAGTCCTTCAAAGCAAATAAAAAGCAGATATGAGCAAGTATCTAAGCATCACATCACGCAGCATCCTTTTATAAGGCCATCAAGTCATGCTTCTTTTAATATTTAGTTTTCTTCATTTTGCTATCGTAGCTTTCTCGAATTTTGCACTTGTGGCCTTCAGACAAATACTCTTCGTCTCGTGCTACATTAGTAGAGGTAATCACCAATGTAAGAAGATTAACATATAGATGAAGTGATGTATTTCAAGAAGTCGTGATAAGTAGAGGACCTCACCTCTTGTGCTTCTACACATCTTAGCTAACTTCATATCCTTTCAGCATTATGATTCCAAAGGATTCTTTAGTTTATAACTAAAGCAAAATTGCTTCCTCATATTTTATTTTGACAAAAATCATACAAAATCCTAAATAATTCATTTACATGCACAAATTATGTTTAAAAAAAATGCAACTCTATAGGAACACAAAAGGACGAAGATCCATAAGGCAAGCACAAATGGTTAGACTAATACTAATGATGATGAAGTCGGAAGATAGTTCTCCTAAGCCTTTCATCTCTGAAGACAACCAAGCAACTCGCATTATTTCTAGAAATTAACACAAAAGTCGATTTAAAGATCTCATTTTTTCAAATCTAAATTACAGATTATTTACAGCTTAAAGGCCAAAAATAAAGTAGTAAATGGATCTCTGTCCCTGAAAAATCACCAACCATGAGTTGCTCAGTCAACTAATTTGTGCTCTGAGTTATTATATGAACATAAGAATAAAAAAAATTAAGTTTGGTAAATCTGGTGCAAACATTCGTATCAAAGAAAAAACTTGAGAAGAATCAAAGAGCAATGGTTAGGGTGAACCATAGTGATCTACATATCAGATTAGTAGATATACAATCTCTGCCATGCAAGGTGCATATATCAAACTTGAACGCGATAGAAACAGCCTTGCAAGCATGATGCACCCTTTTTTATTAGTATTGAAGGAAATATATATAATATGGGCAACTGAAAAAAATCATAAAATATCACTGTTAATTAAATCATCATCATAATAATTTTCATAAAAATGCTGTGTTACCGATCATTAAAACAAACCATAAAGGCAATAAAATCCCTCGTGTTTTCTGCTATATCTTGTCATGTAATCAAAAGTACGTCATTCCACTGCTTCCCAGCATTTATTCTAGTTAAAAATTAACAATAAAGTACACTATTGATGATCAAATTATGTGAATAATGCAGGATAACTTTATAAAGGCTTCCCCTTAGCTACCAAGCCTAGCCTAAAGTATAATGCTATAAAGATGCCTATTTGTCAACAGAAAAAAGACAAAACACTCACTGATGTTGAAGACAATCATGAAGCAAATTATATATAGCTCATTTAATTATGCTTAACACTCAAGTAAAACAATAATATGCTGATTTAATAACAAAGCATCACAAATACAATGAAGTTAACAATAATAAATCATGTAAAAGAAAAAATTCAAAGGCCAAAAAAAGCATCACGAGAATAAAAAATTTTAGAAAGTTAATAGATTCTCTACGTTAGCATGTATAAATAACAGTTTGCATGGTTATACACTGACTTGATCACCCAAGATAATACTTTAACAGCACTCTTAGAACATACCACTAAAAGTATCAAACATGAAGAAAAGTGTTTCAAATCTAACAAAATTTGCAAAGAAAAAAAAACTATAGTAATATAGTGCTGAACACTTCTAGTCCCACTTTAAAATAAGCAACTCCATTGGTTATTAGACAAGATCCAGGCATCAACAAGCTTTCCTACTCTAAAAGTTAAGTTGCGCAACATGTTCATGTTCGTAAGGAGGGACATTACTCCAGCTAAGATATACTACATAAAAACAAGGCACCCATGCAATTCCAAATGGTCCAAAACAAAACTAAACTTGGTATCAACAAAATAATGAATATAACAACCAAGAAAAATAAATAATGTGATAATCTAAAAAACCAATCAAAGATAAATGGTGAATAGTCGCTTAAAACAATGTCATGTTTACTGAAAAATGAGAATAAGAATTGTATGAATTATACCCTTCAGTGTCAAGGTTTCCACATAGAGATTCAAATCGTGGGTCTCGAACAACCTGAAATCACAAAGAAAGATATATAAAACATAGAGTCCATGAACTAAGCTAATTTTTCTCCAAAGCAAACACAGAAATATAAACTCATGCATTTATTTTACACCAAACCAAATAGCTCCAAAGCATTCCGAATACACTACATTTCAATTACAATATACTTCTTTTACATTGCATACTTTTGTTCAGCAAGCCAAACAACCTCTTAATCACAAACATGAATTTTTTTTTTGATCCAAGGAATTCATATTATAAATTAAAAGTGTTCTACGCAAAATGATGAAATGCAATACCGAATTGCCCATCACAAAAATACTAACAATTCTTTATGATGAGAGGCACACAATAGATCTAATTCACACCTGTCAATATTGCAAAATAATTTTTTTTAAAAAAAAAAAAGTGAATTTATCGAGAAAACTGAAAATTTCAAAAAATTTGCAAATGATGGTCTATGAATGATACATGATAGGGATTAGATAATTCACAGCAAGATCAAACGGAACTACAATACCTACATAGACGAGAAAATAAATTATCAATAAATAAGACTGAAAAGGTGACGTAAACCAAAACCAAACATGGCAAAGTAGCAAGAGAAGAGATCATTTGTTCCATGTTGTACTTTGTAGTTATGTATATTTTGTACAAAAATGTTTCATATACACTTAAGAAAGCAATTCCGAGAAAAAGGGCAGAAAAATGGATATAGTTGAAATCAAAAGAAATCTTCAGATTTACACAAACACCCAAATCAACACCATCCAATAAAAGCCATTATGCTATTACAAACTAACATAATTTAGGTTACTCTTAATCATTGGTATGCAGCAACCAATGAATCATTTATAAACGGTAAAGACTTCTTCATATGCATTATAAGGATTATTCACCCCCGCCCTTATTGCTGCCATCGGTCAAAAGATTGGCAGTGGTCCTCTGGCTGTGGATGACACTGATATCAATGAAGGGAATTCAAAAACAAACCAATTCAATTGCATTTGATTCTTTTGGTGCTCCAACACTAGTTTAAGTTGTCAATGGTCCAAAATTGGTTTAAGAGGTTTATTATGAGCAGGTCATCATCCAGAAAGTACTGAAAGGGGAGGTGGGAGGATGGCTTAACAAAACATTTAAATTTTTAAATGGAATTTAACAAGGGAGAAGGTATTTTACATTTTATGGTGAAGTATGGAGGATAGGAAGACATGTAAAAAAGTAATTATTATGTTATATCAAGTAAGGGAGAATAAAAGTTGCATAGCAATTATTTTCCATGTACAATGAATGACAACACTGAGTGAAATGCAAATCATCTAAAACGCTAAAGGCAATCAGATCAATCTAATTAAATTTCAACAAGCAACTCAATCCACACAAAATCGTAACTCTAACAAAGTTTAAATCCACACCCTTCTACTGAAAACTCAATAAATAGATTTAGGTAAGTTTCTCATGATTCCAAATTCCCATAATTGTCGAATCTTTGTGAACAAGCAAATTTGTTTCAAGTAACCTTTAGTCACAAACAATGAACAAAAGATTAATTAGAAGTTATATTGATATACTTGAGATTGAACATCCATCCTAGGAAAGATCACTCAACCAAAAAAATAAAGTAAAAGTTATCTACATAATAAAACACGGAAAAAGTATAATTCGAAATAAATATGTCTGGCAAAGTGTCAAACCCTCTTTGGAGCTTGGATAACTTCTCTAAATCTTCCAACTCGAACCTTGCTACTCATCTCCATTGGCCTTTTTGAAGCAAACCCACAAAACCACAAGCATATAGTAAGATCATATCCTTCAGAACTCAGAATAAAACATAATAAAATTAAGGGGCATACCACACAATTCTCAATTCTTATGTATTACTTATGTATTAACATATCTAACACCTAAATATTCATATTTACATGCATACCATTCAATTTGTTAATATCACATCAAAGATACCACCAACACTATTTTTTTTAAAGTTGAGTACATATTTTTAAGAATAGGATTATGATAGTTGTGTGTAAATATTAAAATTTGTGTGTTCGATATGTAAATACATAAAATTTTTGTGGTATAAATGTAAATTTCCATAAAATTAATATTCTAGTTCAAATTATAGAAGAACCTATTCTTATTAGCACGACCAGGTTTATCATGTAACTTGAATGCAGGCTTCTGTTGAATAACATGCGAGCCATCAGCTCTTGCCTTCTGTAATTCCTCAAATGGGATGTCTGCAAGTTCTTGCTCCAAGTTCTCCAGTTGCTGCTACAAATAGAAACAGAACTTAAGAAGGAGAGGCAATATAGGAGTAAAAATGGGCACATATTGCAGGATCAAACCTTGTCCCGTGAATCAAACTCCTCATTTTTATTGCGTGTAGCTGCTTCTTCAACAGTGAGGATAGGCACTTTGGGTTTCTTAATCACCATAGCTATCCTATGAGAATAAAATAAATCAAGGAAACATTATACACCGTTTTTGGAAGGCATGTAATTCCAATCACCAGAAACATGCATAAATTAAAATTTGAACTCATTAATCCTTAAAAAAATTATCGCTAGAGATGTTAAACTACAAGAAGAACTAATCTTAACTAGACCACCAATTTGGGTTTTCTTAGAATTAAAAGTTTGGATTAAGTTTCATAAACAATAAAAGCTAGATTAATGTGTTGATTCACAATTCTTCTGGTCAGGTAGCCCAGAACAAACTCAAACCGAACATAAAGGTTCAAAATTTTATGGATAGAAATTAATACAACTGTTGACCGTGAAAAAAACAATAAAAAAAAAGAAAAAAACAGGGAGTAAAGAAAATTAAACTCAAATTTTTACCTGGTCCCGCCGTTTGAACAGCACACGCCTCCAATTCGATAACTGCTCACGCTCGTTCGAGAGGCCTTCTCCAGTTAGTTTCTCGCGGGCTCTCCTTCAGGTTCGCTCTTTCCCCGTCCGAAAACACCG